AACACTGATTATCTGGTTATCGTGACTCCTATCAGTGGGTGGGATATATCAGGCAGCAAGTTAACATTTTATCCTCAAAGTTGATCTGTAAGAATCAGGAAAAATGGGCAGCGTGAGGATTTGAGCGACTTTGACAAGGGCCACATTGTGATGGCTAGACGGCTGAGACAGAGCATCTCCAAACCTGCAGCTCTTGATGCGCATGGGGAGCGAAGGCTGGCCCGTGTGTTCCGATCAAACAGACGAGCTACTGTAGCTCAAACTGAAACATTTAATGCTGGTTATGATAGAAAGGTGTCAGAACACACAGTGCATTACAGTTTGTTGGTATGGGGCTGCAGAACATTATGACCACCAGGGTGCCCAGGTTTGTTATGAATGATCGGTGTATGTCACCTTTATCTTTTTAACCGTCTTAAAAATGGGGTTGTCTTTTCAACAAGCTTTCTATCAACTGTTATTGGAGCACAGAGCAAAAAGGACTGAGAAATGTTCAATTGATGACCAACTGTCGACGACCAAAATCAACATTTTTTGACCCTGCCACTAGGAAAAAAATGAGTATACTGAGCAGTGTAACATATCAACAGTATGAAAGATTCCACATAGAACTGGAAATCTAGACCTGATATCCCCTCTTTATATGATGACTAAGTCTATGTACGACTGTAGTGTTTTGATTGTATGTCCTTATTCAGCTCTAACTTTGATGTCTTCTTCCTGTAATCAGAATCTGTCCATCGACACAGACCTCCATGCAGCCAATGGGAAGCGAGTGAAAGCTCTGGATATCTTTGCATATGCATTGGCCTTTTTTAAAGAGCAAGCATTAAAGGTAACATACCTCTGTCAGATCTTCTTTTGTATTGAAAAATATCTATCTGACTAGTGCAGGTGATACCTTGTGACATAATGAATAGCTCAGGGAACATGCAGTTCATCAAAGAAGATGGATAGTAAAGGACAAGCATAAGCGATAAATCTCTATAACTCTGTCGGTTGTGTTTGACTTTTTCTTCTGCAGGAGCTGAGTGATCAGACAGGCGGCGATTTTGACAACAATGATGTGAGATGGGTGATTACTGTTCCTGCCATCTGGAAAATGCCTGCAAAACAGTTCATGAGGGAAGCTGCCTATAAGGTAGGCTAGAAAGCTTCATTCACATTTCTACACTAACATTTTTTTCCAGTTGCATTTCTAGTTTGAACCAGTTTGCAAATGACTGGTTATATCATGTCCTCTAAATCTTGGAGGTCATTGTAACAATATACTGAGAATGGCTGAGGACAGAATCTAATGGTGAAGGATAGGTAAAATAATGTCTGTTAAAACATTCTCTATAGATAGAGGGAGAGAGGGCATACTCAGGGCTGCTGCAGTGCCTCACAGTAATCAAGACTCACAGTCAAACGTGACTGCCATACACACCTACAGTGACCTACACACTGTGGTAGAGGACATAGGGAGGGAGCCAGACATTCATCAATATAGAGACACAAGGAGACAGAGAAAAGATGGAAGTAAGGATGACTACCACGAGTGAAAGAAAAACAATAATAAACCCTCCATACTGTAATTAACCTTAAAGGCATACTAGGTGGGATTTTCCTAAAAATACAATGTAAAGTCTGAGGTTGAAGGGAGCAGATCTCTATCTCTGCCTTTATCTCTGCCTCTGTCCTCTGCTCTCCAGCGCGGACACAGCACAACCAAGTGTGGAGACGGAGACTGTGGAGTCTGTTTGACAGAGGGTGGGCTGAGTCACACACAGCAGACAATGCAGCTTCGGCACAAAATCAGGCAAAGCGCACCTTCTACAGGATTGTGTGCAAGTGCTTTAGAACCTAACCACCGTGAAACAATCACAAAATAAGATAAGATAATAAGCAACAGCAATGGAAAAGGCATATTACACAATTAAAACAATGTGAAAGGTGGTCGATCTGTGGTGCTACAAATTTAAATACATCTTGCATGGCCCTTTTTAAGTGTTTTTCTCATTTTCTCATTACTGCCGAAAAACGATTTTGTCATCAGAACACTAATACTGGATGGAAAATCCAATATGCTAGAGACTTGGAGAATATTGCTGTATGTTATGAGAAAGTAAAGCTGTTTTTTTTTTTTAGCACTTCATATGAAGTTTCCACTCTTCAGTATTAGTAGGTAACAGAGGGTCACAAATAGTGTTTAGCCCTCAAAGGACTCATATAAGGTGATTTGCAATTCTATAAACTAACCCTGCAAAAGATATATTATAGTATGTAGGCAAAGGATTATTAAGTGTTCTCACTCAGTGATTTTCAAAATATGGTCAGGAGGAGGTTAGCTTCACCACTGACTGTCTGGGTTAACTTGGAGGGTGTATTTCACACTAACTAACGTACTAATCACTTATATACACAATATACTATCCACGTCTCACTCCCAAAGTCGGGATACTGCAATACTGTCACTTGGTCGTTGCCTTATAACGTAGGTACCCATCTAATGTAATTTCTGGATGTGCCTAAAAAAGAGTGACAAAGTCCATGTATGGAGGTGGTGCTGGATTGATGGCCCAAATAGATACAGGACTTTAACCCAGGAGGCCACTTTTCATGTCCCGTGCAAAACCAAAAGTTATCAATTGTACGCACGTAAGTTAACTAACATAATGTACTTAAGTTACGTCATGTACATAATGTAACTTACATTTTTTTTTGTAAGTATCTTCAGAGCATCACTGAATGTGGTCACCTGGGTGTGGCTGTCTGCAGTAAAGAAAGAGGGATGAGGCTGGAGGAGGACAGAGGAGAGATAGAGATAGGAGAGAGAGACAGCTGTGATGGGTGGGGGAAGCAGGGGTGTGCATGTGTATGTGATTGTGGAACATTTTTGCCAGTAAGAATGACCATATCCAGCTCCCTTTGGATTTAAGTCACCCTCATTTAACCACTGTATTCTGTGGTTCAGAGATGTGAGTGCATTATTTATTAACTCAGCCATAAATGGCTTGAAGAAAAGGCTGGCAAAAATATAAAATGTACTTAATGCCCATTAAAAATTTTAATTGTTGCCAGAAATCATTCACATTTGGGAAAGAGAATAAAAGTAGAAATATACAAATTTAAGGGTTTAAAAGAATAATAATATCCTTTTATCTAGCCTAAAACTACAAATAGTTATTTTTACATTTCTGTAAAAACGTTTGACTTTTGACTAAGAAGATATGATATATTAGTTATTAAGCTTTAGAGATATTGGTTGCTAGGCCAGGCCAGGCCCGGTGTCCCATGCGGGGACTGCAGAGCATTTATCCCTTATCATGCGTACCACATATTTATTTTTTCAAAAGTTAAACCACTGCAGGACAGACACTTTTCTAAAATCTGGCTTTTATCCAGTGGCTGTGAAGAAAGCAGGGAAGGCTGTCATCACAATGCTGTGTTATATGTCAATCAAACTGCGCACACACTCATTCTGAATTTTACCTGACTGCAAACAACGTATTGGAGCACGACTAGCTAATGGTGATCCAGTGAGTGAGTGAGTGCTCATAGAGACTAGGAAAAAACAAAAGCACCACATTTATATAGCTATACCCTATAAGAATCCATCTTTACATAGTAATCAAGTACACGTGTACCTGTTTAGACAATACATCTATCATAATCCTTCATTATTCAGTTCAAACATGTATATTCACTGGAATTATATATATAATTATGTGCCATCCATATAGTGATCATTTTCATTTTATCTTTTTATTCAACCCTTTCCAAGTATTCTCCACATATATATATTATGAGTCAGGACAGGCATGGATGTAAACAACCACGGGTAGTAATTCTAGTTAAGATTTCTGTTTTGCTGCTGTCTTGACCAATGATATCATCCTTCTGTTCTGATCACATCCCTGGTGTGCGTGCTAAAAAAAGAAGAGGAGGAGAGGAAGGGGAATGGAGATGAGGGCAGAAACAGAGAAAAGGAGGAGAGCTTTTAGCTGTTATCTGCAGTGTTGCTAGAGGCAGCGATGGAAGGACGAGCTTAGTGTAACACGAGGTAGAGAGAAAGCTGGGCGTCGGCAGTGACTCAGCATCAGGCAGCGTAGATGTGATCTGTTTTGATTGGCTGTTCGTGGAGGACAGAGGGAGGGAGAAAATGAGGGAACAGCAGAATACTGTAACCACTCCTCCTCCTCCTCCTCCTCTGATCACATCATCCGTTAGTTCTCCTGGGGCCCTGACACAACCCACAGCCTTTTCTCCTGAACTTTATTCACCCTTTTTTTCCTCTGATCCATCCCTAACACCACACACCGTTTTTTCTCCGGCTCTTCTCTCCTTTTCAAACAGTAAGAGCAGCACAGCTTCAGTGGAGCCTACCAATAAACTAAGAAAAACATAAGAATTTCTAACCCTTTGACATTAATATCTGCGGAGTGTGATTAATGGCAGCTATCATTTTCTGTCGGAGCCTGTGGTTCTGAAATAAGCCTTGTTCCTCAACAGCAGCTATTGATGAATTACAGCTGGTTTATTATCTGTGACCCTTATGACAAATTCTTGGCTATTGATTGCATGGCTGCATCATACTTTTTAAATTATATTACTGCTATACAACCATTAGAAAATCCTTCTGTGTGCTTAATTTAACTTCTGGGTGAATTAACATGGTAATGAGATTATGTGAATACTATACCTTAGTTCTGATTGAAACCAAATCTTTTAAAGATCCCCTCCAGACATGTATTAAGACATACTGGTATATACAAATAGTCTCCTACTTCACTGAAATGTCCATTCTCAGTGTATGTGTACTGTGGGAATAATGTTGGCAGTTAGAGAATGTGCTTCTAGGACCTCTATATCTCTCTTAGTGGACAACACAGTCAGCATGAACACAGGTGCCACTGTGTTGTTCACACTGCATCAGTTTTCATATCACACAACCCTGAACATGTAATTTCCCAAATAGGGCTGCATGATATGGTGAAAAAACATTATTTTGACAGATATTGCAATATGATTCACGATTGTTGTAGGAATTATCTTTTTTTTTAAGTCATGATAATGTGACATTTGTTATGACAAAGATGGTTTCTTAAATCTGTATTTGTAAGCCAGGACATCTCTGCAGCAAGATGTAAACAAAGTTGGTTAAAGTGTATTTTCCTGTCTGTATTCTGTCCCTTTGTAGTCTGCTCTGGTGTCCCGTGAAAACCCAGAGCAGCTGATCATCGCCTTAGAACCCGAGGCCGCGTCAATCTACTGCCGCAAGCTCCGCCTCCACCAGATGGTGGACCTGTGCACCCAGACCACCCAGAACGGCTTCAGCCCCACTGACAACGTGGGGAGTGGAATGACCCAAGGTACATCCCATCAGCACTGACACCAAATGATCCTGATTGTTCTAATAGCTTGATGATGCTTCACTGATCATTCACCATGTACACCCCTGTGTTGTTAATGGTTCTGAATGTGTGTGTATTCAGTGTCTTACTATGGCAGCATTGACATTGTAACACTGTTTCTCCTCCTGTTGAATGTTTCTTCCATAGTGTCTCCGGGTCATGGTAAACATGCTCTCTTTTTAAATTCAGACAGGAACTGCATGAAGGTTCAAAGGCACAATTTTTTTTATTTATTTCTAATCATCACATTGCATCTTGCATTTGCTTTTCCCAGATTATATCATATACAAAAAGCACATCTTGATTTATAATGGGACTAACTACCTAAAAACATTAAAGGGTGACTTTGGTATTTTTCACCCTAGACTTTGTTTTCCATGTTTTTGTGTCAAAGTGAATGGAGACGAGTTTTGAATTTGATCCAATA